CTCCCCGGGCCCGGCCGCGGCTCCCCCAGGAAAACGGCTGAGAAGCGCGACCCGAGAGGGAAGCGCGGCGCAGGACCAGGGGAGCGTGCGCTCCCGCAGCCAATCCGCGAGCGCGGCACACGGCCTGCACGCTGGGAAACGGCCGTTTCTGCGGATCAGGGCCGCGCTTGGCCTGTTGGCTATTGTAGTTTTTTGGGAGCGGAAATTGCTGTGGTCCATCGCGGCACCCTGCCGCCCGCCAGCAGCAACGCTGATCACACAGGACCGGATGGGGTCCTGGTGCACTTTATATGGTGCAATACGTGTACTTGGCACTTTGCAGAACATGGGAAAAGGCTCCAGCCCTGAGGCGTTTGCCTTGTAAATTACTAACAAGCAGAACAGCTCAGTAGGAAGGCATGGAGACTTTGCTGAGACTATCATGGGAGAACTCAACATCAGAAAAAGGGGCATCATATGCTTACTAGGTCATCACAGTCTACTTTACGACTATATTCTGCTGAGGGACTCTTGGACTCAACCAGTCTGGGAATCAACAGAATCCTAATGAGTAGCTAATAAGAGAATAACTGCTATTTAAATGTAGAACTTACACTGCTATAGAATAGAATACTATCTGTTCCTTGGCTCTGAACAGTAACTTCCCATCCCCAGTAAATGTAGTTTTTCTTTCTGTCTATTCCTCTTTCCCATTATGGGCCTATTTCACTACCCTTACAGGATAAGTGGTGTGTTACTCTGAGACTAGTCTTACTGATAAAACTGAAAAAGAGATCAGTTCAAAAGCTTGGTTCGCTCATCTGAAAGGAAAGCAAGAGGGAAATGGTAGTTTCTGTGGCTCAGGGCAGCAATTGGCAATTGCCTTTTGACAACTGTAGTTTTTCGGAAGCAAAAATTGCTGTGGTCCATCACAGCACCATGCACCATGCAGCAACATTGATCAATAAGAGATACTACCCATATCCACCCTGTCTCTCTCATATCTTGGGACCAGTAGGGCTACAGGGACATTGCAAACAGCTACTGATATGATACAGAGATTTTTCAACATGAATAAAGGCATTAACATTTGCCCCTATATTGGGGAAGGGGAAGTGTTATCATTCACTATATGTACACTTGAGGTCGTGTTATTGATTCTAGTCTGCAGTTTCAGAAACTTTGGTACATTTCCTGATCTCCCTTACATATTCTGGGGAAATTCACACACATACAAAATCATAGAATCATAGAATACTACGACTGGAAGGGACCTTGAGAGGTCATCGAGTCCACTCCCTGCCTCCATGGCAGGACCAAATACTGTCTAGACTATCCCTGATAGACATTTATCTAACCTACTCTTAAATATATCCAGAGACGGAGATTCCACAACCTCCCTGGGCAATTTATTCCAGTGCTTAACTGCCTTGGCAGTTAGGAACTTTTTCCTAATGTCCAACCTAAACCTCCCTTGCTGCAGTTTAAGCCCATTGCTGCTTGTTCTATCCTCAGAGGCCAAGATGAACAAGTTTTCTCCCTCCTCATGACACCCTTTTAGATACCTGAAAATGGCTATCATGTCCCCCCCTCAGTCTTCTCTTTTCTAAACTAAATAAACCCAGTTCTTTCAGCCTTCCTTCATAGGTCATGTTCTCTAGACCTTTAATCATTCTTGTTGCTCTTCTCTGGACCCCCTCCAATTTCTCCACATCTTTCTTGAAATGTGCCCAGAACTGTACACAATACTCCAACTGAGGCCTAACCAGCGCAAATTGAAAAACAAGACAAAATAATTATGGTTTTTACATGTAGGACTTGACATGTTAGACACCAATCAAGAGAAGTCCTTACAAACGAGTGAAAAATCACCCTACAGGCTTCCTGCCTGCCCAGGCTGGGGACTAGCACTGGGACTGAAGCTGAGACAAGAGGCACGACAAGGCTCATAAGACAAACAAAAATATTTCAGAAACCCAGCGTCAACATCCAAGAGCAGGAGACAAGCAGGATCCCGCATCGCTGGGGAAGAACAAAGGTCGCTGCTGCAGACCCGGCCCCGCTTGCTGAGAGCAGGAAAGAGACTGACAGTCAACGCGCATGCTCGGAGCTAGCTCGGTGTTCCGGCTTAGGTCGACTGACCTCCGCTCTCCGCCATGTTGATTGTGCGAGTCCGCGCGGCTCGCTCTTTTCTCGCTCTGCTGGGTGGCGGTCGCGACAATGGGGCCAGCCGCCATGCTGAGTGTGGCCCACGAGGTGCCTTTCTCTCCACCATGTTGAATGTGGCTCTTCCTGGTTTGCCGGCAGGTGGGCGGTGCTGAGTTCCGGTTCCAGTTCCGGTGGGGCGGGCGGGGTCGGTGGCTCTGCCTGCCGGGCAGGTGTTGCTGGTGCGACGAGACTCAGTATGGAGCATTAAAGCGACGGCTCCGCTCGCGGTCCGGACTTGGCGGTGGCTGTGAGAGGCGCCAGCTGCAGGTGGGAAAAGGCGGAAACCTCCGGGTGTGGCGCCCGGTCGGAGCGGGGCGGCCTGTGTTGTCCTGCCCTAGGCGGGGTGGGGTGGCGCGGAGTCCTGGTGAGGTGCTCTGGGCTAGGCTGGAGAGCGCTCTTGCCCCCCCCCCCTCGCCCCCGGGCTGGCTCCCTCTGCGCGCGTCCGGCCCTAGTGCGGGATCCCGGCGGGAGCGGGGGTGACACCACTACTGGCCCCTGTGAGGTGCTGTGGGGGAGCAGCTGCGCTGATGGGGACCAGGGGATGGGGCCGCCGGGGCCAACACTGCCCGTCTTACCTACTTGATAAACGCGGCATAGAGCACTGGTGCCCCAAACTTAGTAGTGCCCCATGCAGCCGCATAAAGATAGCCTTGTGTGATGATATATGGGTTTTTTGGTCTCTAGTGTTTGGTAATATTCCAGTGTTTTTTGCAATGGAAAAAAAAGTTGCAAAAAAAGCAAGCACAATTCTGGGATGCATTAATGCAGGGGTTCCCAACTTTTCCGGTCCTCGTACCCCCCCTTGGCTTTTAGTAAACCTTCCCGTACCCCCTATTCAATATGAAAAGAAATAAATTCTAGACTCTAGAATCCACAACTTTTTTCACTAACACTGCTACTTTTGGAATATTTCAATTAGGATAATCTAGTTATTTACCAAATATTCCCCGCACACCCTTGACAAGCTTCTCGTATCATATGCGTACCCCAGGTTGGGAGTCCCTGCATTGACGGGAGTGTTGTGAGCAGAACAGGAGAAGCCATTCTTCTGCTCTACTCTGCGCTGATTAGGCCTCAACTGGAGTATTGTGCCAGTTCTGGGCATCACATTTCAAGAAAGATGTGGAGAAATTGGAGAAGGTCCAGAGAAGAGCAACAAGAATCATAAAAGGTCTAGAGAATGTGAGCTATGAGGGAAGACTGAAAGAATTTGGCTTGTTTCTTTTAGAAAAGGGACGACTGAGAGGGAACATGATAGCAGTTTTCAAGCATCTACAAGGGTGTCACGAGGAGGAGGGAGACATTGTTCTCCTTGGTCTCTGAGGATAGGGCAAGAAGCATTGGGCTTAAACTGCAGCAAGGGAGGTTTAGGTTGGACATTAGGAAAAAGTTCCTAACTGTCAGGGGTAGTTAAGCACTGGAATAAATTGCCCAGGGAGGTTGTGGAATCCCCGTCTCTGGATATATTTAAGAGTAGGTTAGATAAATGTCTATCAGGGATGGTCTAGACCAGTGGTCTCCAAACTTTTCACACCCAAGGTCACTTTTTAAATGACAGAACAAGCCAAGATCTACAGCCCTGCCCCTTTTTTGAAGCTCTGCCCTTTGTATTCTCCTTCTCTCCATCACTTGTTATCCCCAGCCCTTATACTGCTGCTTTTTTCCCCAATTCTTCTGTAGGAAGAGGTTTTTCCAACATTTGGCCTGTCTAGACTGGACCAAATGTCAAAAAAAACTTCTTTTGGAAGCCCCCTTATTCCTTGTGGAGAGAGGAATATAGAGGTGACCGAAAGATCATGTTTGCTCTTCCACTAAAAGAAGTGGAAGAACAAATGCTGGGATATCTCCGGAATCCTGAAAAACTCCTGCAGTCTAGCTGTATGCTCCCTGGATTGAGACAAGATGTGTAGGCTCTGGGGGTGGGAATGAGGGATTTGGGTGTGGGAAGGGGTGAGAAGTGCAAGCTCTGGGGGAAATCTGGATGCAGGAGAAGGTGGATAAGGGGACACTGGCACTGGGAGAGGGTGCCAGGCTGGGCAGTGTTGGGGTCAGATGTAGGGTTAGGGTACTAAGCAAGCCACAGATTTCTGAACCCTCACATCCAGGAATTTGGGTTTGGGTATGTGAGGAGCTCAGGGCAGGGGGTTCCGGTGTATGATAGGCTCAGGTCTGAGGGAAAGGAGAGTGTAGGAGTGTTATGATGCTGTGGCCAGATGGGGGCTTGGCTCCAATTTGGGGTTTGTTGGCCTTGCTTCATTTTTAAATAAACTACTGTGTCAAACAAAGTTTTTTGCATTGTCTTTATTTCTGAGAAGGGCAGGGAACCTGTCTTGAGTCCGGGGTCACTGACCCAAGAAAAGTCAGTTGGGGCCACACAAGTGAGATGCAAAAAAAACCCTCCTCCACCCCGTCCCCCTCAAGCTTCACTAATGTGGCCCCAACTGTGTTGGTGGGAACAGGGGATATAGTATTGGGGAAGGGTGCTAGTGGGTGCTTTGGCAGGGGACAGGGTGCCAGTGGGGACAGAGTTCTGTGGCTCGGGATGGGAATGAGGACAGAGTTCGGGGAGTGGGGACAGAGTTCTGTAGCTGTGGACAGGGGAGTGGGGACGGGGAGG